GATCACAAATGCAGACATGGTTTTATGTTTATGCGGCGCGATGCAACGCAACACGTAAAAAGACAGTATAAGTCATTATAATCCATAATTATGTCCCCACTGGATGCAACGGATGCCTCCGTGATGTTTTTGTCTCATCGCTCCGGCCTGACAGGGCATCATCACAATACGGTAGGGGCGTAACCAGGGTGCGAACTACGGGGGAGCTAGGGGGAGCTCGTCTCCCCTTAATAAGCCATGGGCTCCCCTGATTTGTGAAATTTTGGGGGGTCTCAAAAAATATTGACAATGTGTTATTTTGACGTGCAATTTCAGTTTTGTGTAATGTGATCATCGTGGATTATTATGTGTAAAATTGCAAAAATATCATTCATTCATGCATGACGGCGATTTAAACCTAATTCACTTCAATAAAGATAACTATACATGCTATTCTTGTCATGAGCATCAAGGTGTGGGGGCGCTGCAGTGCAAATTCCACTCATGTTTAGTACATGTTAACTCAAAGATTTGTAGAAAAAATATAAACGTTGGGCTCTGGTCGATTTAAAGCAAGTAGAAGGCATGTTATAATTTTCATAATTTCATGATTATGTGTTGTGGCTGGGTTGTTATAGGTCTGCGTGACTCTCAGTGTCTTAGGCCTAATTGGACGGAGGAATTATGGTATTAATGCTATCAATTCGTGTCGATAATGTACAGGGTAAATCCTGTATAGTGATTTATCCTATATAGTGCTTGCATAAAGCAAGTAGTGCATACACTTGTAGCCAATCAGAGCACACCTCGCTTTTTCAGACCGATGAGCTTTGTAAAAATCGATGCGTTTCAGAAAGGCGGGGCATAGAGGAGAAACAATAATGTACAGTATGTGGAAAATAATGTGTTTTTTAACCTTAAACCGCATAAACACATTTAATTACACCAAATACACAAAATAATGTTCTTTTTAGCAGCATCATATGACCCCTTTAATAAGAAATAAACAATATCAGTATAAGAAAATGTTAAGTTAGATTGACTTCCCATGGCATGTTGAATTAGAACATTCTGTCAAACTATAACCTATAAGTGCCTAAATAATATAAAATACATTATATATATATATTCTATGTAAACAAGTAATTGTTAACTATGATGTAACTTTATTGCAGTTATGTTATCAACAAACTTTGCATAGATTATAGCACAAAAGACCATTTTACAAAAATAAATATATAAGCAAACAATCAAATATATAAACCTTATGACTGAGCATGACCCGGGACTCTACTAAAACAGTTCACACCCCCAATGTTCAAACCAAAACTACGCCCTTGTTTTGTACTCTTTGTTACTTCTATCAGCTGTTTAGACTCTCATTCTGACGGCACCCGTTCACTGCAGAGGATCCATTGTTGAGCAAGTGATGTAATGCTACATTTCTCCAAATCTGTTTAAATTCATCTACAGCTTGAACGGCCTGAGAGCGAGTAAATTCTCAGCAAATGTTAATTTTTGGGTGAACTATTCTGTTAAGATGGGACTCAAAACCCAAAACAAGACAGCAATTAATTTAGATTCCATTATTGTGCTTGCCTATTGATAAACCACAAATATTGCTTTTGTGTGTTGTAGGGGGAGGATGAGGTACAGATCTCATTCCACGGAGTGGTTTACATGGATCTGGTGCCGTTATTGTACCCTGGAGTGCAGCGTATACACGGGGTGTACCGAATCTACCCCTTTTACGAGTCTGATCTGCTGAATAAGGTGAGTGAATATGAGTCACAGCCACATGAAATTAATCATGCTTCAAATGAAGAACAGAGATGACAGAACGGTCTGACACCATGTGAATTAAACTGTGACACTTTCAGATCAATGCAAAAAAATATTTCATTATATAAAATGACTCAAGATATTAAGTCTTGTTTTAAAAAATTAAAATTAAGTTTGTGTTTAAAGGAACACTACACTATTTTTAACTCCTCTAGAGTTAAACAGTTGAGTTTTACCGTTTTCGAATCCATTCAGCCGATCTCCGGGTCTGGCGGTAGCAGGAATGAGAATATAGTTCCTAGCCATATCGGCCTAGAAAATCACAACTTTTCATTTTCCGTTGGTCTTAATACACGATGCAACTACAGAAGAGTCAAGTTTTAAATAGGAAAAATATAGAAACTCTTTGGTCATTCTTGAGTGAGATGCTAACGGTCTAATCAAATTCAATGATCTATGCTAAGCTAAGCTAAAAGTGCTACCGCCAGACCCGGAGATCGGCTGAATGGATTCGAAAACGGTAAAACTCAACTGTTTAACTCTAGGGGAGTTGTAAAATGAGCCTATTTTCAAAAATAGTGGAGTGTTTCTTTAAAACAAGAAAAATATCTGCTCACAGGGTTAGAAAAATAACTTTAATTCAATTTAACTTTAAAAATAACTTTAAACGCTCACATTTTTAAAAGAAATATACATAATATGCTACGTAATTTTACTTCTCAACATCTCAAGTAAATGTACCTTGATTTAATAATGTTTAGATATCCGTACTGGAAAATAAGATAAAAATAGCATTGATTAAGAAAATCATTTGAAGCTAATGTCTCCAGTATCATTTTAAGTCTGATCAAATTCATTTTAAATTTGGCTTCTTGCCATTGTTGCCTCTGTCTTGCTCAGTTGGGGTTTAAAAGACAATTAATATTCAATCAATAACATTACCGATTTAACTGCACTGACACTATTGGATGAAAACACAATTTGAACTAAACTGAGCTGGATAATGGCACTTACTTTGCAACACTGATGTGGTTATTGACCTGAATTGAGCTGAATAATGACACTGTTGACTCCTGTAGAGCTGCTTTACAGCTGCAATGTAATTTCTTTTCATAATAGATTTTACATTAATAACACTGTGATTTTCTTGTTTATTAATGTGAAGCTGCTTTGAAACCATCAGTATTGTGTATATAAATACTGCAAATGTGACTTGACTAGTTTGACACCATAAAAAATGAATAGTACTTTGATAAAGCAATAAGCCCCAAGAAGCCGTGGTTTACAGTGAATTTAACGCCCCTTAGCTGTTATAAAATCACTGTAAACCACGGCTTCACGGGGCTTATTGCTTTTATAAAACGGTTATTCCATATACGTACGGTTTCACAAAATAAAACCGAGCAAATAAAGTGTAACGATAATAAAAACAGTGTTCTTCCGCCAAACAATGTAGTTCCTCAGAAACAGTTGTGGTTGCAACAAAGTGGTTGCCGAGTAACACACAGACGTAAACAAAGGTGTGTGTTTGTAGAGTAATTTACAACAGCTTAGAACGCGGCTCAACCAATCAGAATCAAGGACCGGAACGATCAGCTTTATAATCAATATTTTTAAATGGCCCATTCAATGATACAGTAACAAAAACATACATACTATCTTGAGACTGATTGTTTGACAGTGAATCTTATCTTCTGTGCTGTTCCAGACTCAGAGGACCTACAGTGTTTTGAAGGAGTTGAGCAGAACACCGGCAGCACTGAGCCGAAATCGAGCCAATTCCTCCGTCAACTCCTTAAAGGCTTTTCAGAGTAAAACCATGGAGAACCAAAGAGGAAACAACGATGTTTCCAAAAAGGTACAAAAAAAATAATCACAAGTCAGATCTTGTTAATATCCTAATTTCTTCTTCTTTAGTGTTAATACGTATTTGGAGATGGTACCTACTGAGAACCAGTGTTATTTTAGTATCATTCACTGCAGGAAATTATTTTCTTACTTTTTTTAATACCAATATCTACATATATGCACACAAAGCATACGTTTTTACTCAAATGAGACCTGATAGAGTTCATGGGTTAAGATCATTTGGAGCAGATGCCATCTCTTCCCCTTTCCGTGCTGCAATGGGGCTCGTTTTCGATATCCCCCCTAATTAAATCCGGATCTGTGGCTGAGAGACGCTTCCCAAACCAATTAGCTGTAATAGCAGCAGATTGCTGGGTGAATCATCTCCTTTGCTCATCTGCCCCTCTCTGACGCCCCGTGGCTCCGCAGCAGACGGAGAGAGGTGAGGAACACACAGCCGCTCCACCAACTGAGCATCTGACACCGCAGCTGCCCGCGAGACAAATAACAGCCGCTCAGTCAACACACACAAACACACACACCTTTATCATAGTCCCAGAAGATACGCTCAGATGTGTGTCAGTGGAGTAACAAGTGAGACACACTGAGTATGAGTTAGAGTTATAAAATTAACATCGATTATTTGATCTTGAGAGACTTTGATGAAAAAGTTTGTATTGAGATCTCTGACTCATGTTGGCAAAACTGAGCGCTGTTTGAAACACTGAAATTAAAAAATATTTTTTATATTGTCTATTTACTCTTATTAGACTCTATGTATCCTAATTGCTGTCTTGACTGAACAATTGATAGGAAATCAATCTCAGAATGTTTGGATTAGTTTTTTTGTTGTTGTTTTTTTTTAAATGTTTTTAAGTATTTTATAAAAATTAAAAAATACTGTAACTGTAAAATAACTTTTTTCTATTTGTTTTAAAATGGAATTTATTTCTGTGATCAAAGATAAAACATTTATTTTATTATTATTATTATTATTATCAATGTTGCAGTGCTTTTTTCAGGACTCATTGATGAATAGAAAGTTAAAAAGAGCAGGATATATATATATATATATATATATATATATATATAAATTATAATTTCTTTACTATTATTTTTGCTCAATTTAATGTGTCCTTCCTGAATAAAAATATTAATTTCTTTTTTTTTTAAAAATAGTGGAGTGTTTCTTTAAAACAAGAAAAATATCTGCTCACAGGGTTAGAAAAATAACTTTAATTCAATTTAACTTTAAAAATAACTTTAAACGCTCACATTTTTAAAAGAAATATACATAATATGCTACGTAATTTTACTTCTCAACATCTCAAGTAAATGTACCTTGATTTAATAATGTTTAGATATCCGTACTGGAAAATAAGATAAAAATAGCATTGATTAAGAAAATCATTTGAAGCTAATGTCTCCAGTATCATTTTAAGTCTGATCAAATTCATTTTAAATTTGGCTTCTTGCCATTGTTGCCTCTGTCTTGCTCAGTTGGGGTTTAAAAGACAATTAATATTCAATCAATAACATTACCGATTTAACTGCACTGACACTATTGGATGAAAACACAATTTGAACTAAACTGAGCTGGATAATGGCACTTACTTTGCAACACTGATGTGGTTATTGACCTGAATTGAGCTGAATAATGACACTGTTGACTCCTGTAGAGCTGCTTTACAGCTGCAATGTAATTTCTTTTCATAATAGATTTTACATTAATAACACTGTGATTTTCTTGTTTATTAATGTGAAGCTGCTTTGAAACCATCAGTATTGTGTATATAAATACTGCAAATGTGACTTGACTAGTTTGACACCATAAAAAATGAATAGTACTTTGATAAAGCAATAAGCCCCAAGAAGCCGTGGTTTACAGTGAATTTAACGCCCCTTAGCTGTTATAAAATCACTGTAAACCACGGCTTCACGGGGCTTATTGCTTTTATAAAACGGTTATTCCATATACGTACGGTTTCACAAAATAAAACCGAGCAAATAAAGTGTAACGATAATAAAAACAGTGTTCTTCCGCCAAACAATGTAGTTCCTCAGAAACAGTTGTGGTTGCAACAAAGTGGTTGCCGAGTAACACACAGACGTAAACAAAGGTGTGTGTTTGTAGAGTAATTTACAACAGCTTAGAACGCGGCTCAACCAATCAGAATCAAGGACCGGAACGATCAGCTTTATAATCAATATTTTTAAATGGCCCATTCAATGATACAGTAACAAAAACATACATACTATCTTGAGACTGATTGTTTGACAGTGAATCTTATCTTCTGTGCTGTTCCAGACTCAGAGGACCTACAGTGTTTTGAAGGAGTTGAGCAGAACACCGGCAGCACTGAGCCGAAATCGAGCCAATTCCTCCGTCAACTCCTTAAAGGCTTTTCAGAGTAAAACCATGGAGAACCAAAGAGGAAACAACGATGTTTCCAAAAAGGTACAAAAAAAATAATCACAAGTCAGATCTTGTTAATATCCTAATTTCTTCTTCTTTAGTGTTAATACGTATTTGGAGATGGTACCTACTGAGAACCAGTGTTATTTTAGTATCATTCACTGCAGGAAATTATTTTCTTACTTTTTTTAATACCAATATCTACATATATGCACACAAAGCATACGTTTTTACTCAAATGAGACCTGATAGAGTTCATGGGTTAAGATCATTTGGAGCAGATGCCATCTCTTCCCCTTTCCGTGCTGCAATGGGGCTCGTTTTCGATATCCCCCCTAATTAAATCCGGATCTGTGGCTGAGAGACGCTTCCCAAACCAATTAGCTGTAATAGCAGCAGATTGCTGGGTGAATCATCTCCTTTGCTCATCTGCCCCTCTCTGACGCCCCGTGGCTCCGCAGCAGACGGAGAGAGGTGAGGAACACACAGCCGCTCCACCAACTGAGCATCTGACACCGCAGCTGCCCGCGAGACAAATAACAGCCGCTCAGTCAACACACACAAACACACACACCTTTATCATAGTCCCAGAAGATACGCTCAGATGTGTGTCAGTGGAGTAACAAGTGAGACACACTGAGTATGAGTTAGAGTTATAAAATTAACATCGATTATTTGATCTTGAGAGACTTTGATGAAAAAGTTTGTATTGAGATCTCTGACTCATGTTGGCAAAACTGAGCGCTGTTTGAAACACTGAAATTAAAAAATATTTTTTATATTGTCTATTTACTCTTATTAGACTCTATGTATCCTAATTGCTGTCTTGACTGAACAATTGATAGGAAATCAATCTCAGAATGTTTGGATTAGTTTTTTTGTTGTTGTTTTTTTTTAAATGTTTTTAAGTATTTTATAAAAATTAAAAAATACTGTAACTGTAAAATAACTTTTTTCTATTTGTTTTAAAATGGAATTTATTTCTGTGATCAAAGATAAAACATTTATTTTATTATTATTATTATTATTATCAATGTTGCAGTGCTTTTTTCAGGACTCATTGATGAATAGAAAGTTAAAAAGAGCAGGATATATATATATATATATATATATATATATATATAAATTATAATTTCTTTACTATTATTTTTGCTCAATTTAATGTGTCCTTCCTGAATAAAAATATTAATTTCTTTTTTTTTTAAATGTCTTAATAGGGGTGGTTGATTGTGATTTCACTTTTTTAATGTTAGTTAGTGTGTAATGTTGCTGTTTGAGCATAAACAATATCTGCAAAGTTACGACGCTGAAAGTTCAATGCAAATGGAGATATCGTCTTTTAAAATTCTGGCGGTTTAATGCCTACAAAAACGGCTGGTAGGGACTACAACAAGTTACTTCCCGGGTTCGTGACATCACAAACCCAGATAAACCCCGCCCTCGGGAAAAGGCAGCAAAGGGGGCGAGGCCATGCTGTGCTGCTTTAGAGAAGAGGAAACTAGAGGTGCATGTAAAAATCTGTTCATATATTAATCGCGATTCTGTCTTCTAACGATTCTAATGAATTCACAAGTTTCAAAATCAATGTTCTAAAGCAGCTGTTCTTAATACTGTTCCTGCGTTCCCCTGCTCTACACACACTATCTGTCTCTCTCAAAATTAACTGTTACAGTTATACACTTGTTTTCACATAGCTATAAGAAGCGTTAAACATGCACGCGCGTGCAGTTGCCGTACTGTATTAAAGCTTTAATCAGGATAAAACCGTATATTAAAAGCTAACATAAGCAGTAGCATTTACACATAACAGTGTATCTAGAAGAATGAGACAACAACAAACCAAAAACATAGGCCTACCATTAAAAGCCGTGCTTGCACAGGTTCTGCACGATCCTCTTCAATAATATCCTCTGCTTCTCAATCGGACTTAAACTGCTAAGCGATATTAATGACGCCTTGTTTACAATACAGCCGGAGCACATGCCGCTCAGGTGAGCGGCGGGACGATTAGACACGCACTAGATGCGGTTTAGCCAATCACAACACACTGGGCTAGCTAACCAATCCGAGCCCATCGCCTATTTCTGAGGGTGGGGCTTCATAAAAGCAGGAAATGATCAGCGCACTATGTATTTTATAATATAATAATAATATAATATTTATTTACATCTAATATATTATTTATGTATTTAATTATATTTTTAATACTTACTAACATTTTTTTGATTACTTAAAATGCCAAAAGAAAAGCATTTATTTGAAATAAATAAATATTTTGTAACATTAAATGTCTTTGTCATTTTTGATCAATTTAACGTGTCCTTGTTGATTAAAAGAATTAATTGCTTTCAAAAAAATATTACTGACCCCAAACTTTCGAACAGTAGCGTACATCACATTATGCAAGTAAAATAGGTTTTAAATGCCGTTTCATGTTTATTTTAATGCGCACAAAACATTTTATAAGTAAATAAGTATGGATCTACAGGATGTTGTCTTTTCTACAGCCGGATTCCCAGGGAAAATGTGCTCAGACTGACAGCGTGTCTGGACTGGAGCCTCAGGTGAACACTGAGGGACAGGTCAGTTCATCTGTCAATCACATATTCAAATGAAGCAGTGAAATATGAAAACACTCTTGGTAAGGTATGATTTTCACCTTTTTCCCCTAAACTTTTCTTATCGTCTCAGATGTACGCTGATTCAAGATCGTACAAGCGGTGTGGAATAAAGGTAAATTATGTGAAAAATAATGTGTTTTTTTTTTTTAAACTAAGCATTAACACATGTTAGACTGCACCCTGTAAACACAATCAAGCCTAGAAAAAAAACACTGAACCACCCCTTTAATTACATATTGAATGGTAATGTATGTGTATACTATGTATTTTATAATATAATAATAATATAATATTTATTTACATCTAATATATTATTTATGTATTTAATTATATTTTTAATACTTACTAACATTTTTTTGATTACTTAAAATGCCAAAAGAAAAGCATTTATTTGAAATAAATAAATATTTTGTAACATTAAATGTCTTTGTCATTTTTGATCAATTTAATGTGTCCTTGTTGAATAAAATAATTAATTTCTTTCAAAAAAATATTACTGACCCCAAACTTTCGAACAGTAGCGTACATCACATTATGCAAGTAAAATAGGTTTTAAATGCCGTTTCATGTTTATTTTAATGCGCACAAAACATTTTATAAGTAAATAAGTATGGATCTACAGGATGTTGTCTTTTCTACAGCCGGATTCCCAGGGAAAATGTGCTCAGACTGACAGCGTGTCTGGACTGGAGCCTCAGGTGAACACTGAGGGACAGGTCAGTTCATCTGTCAATCACATATTCAAATGGAGCAGTGAAATATGAAAACACTCTTGGTAAGGTATGATTTTCACCTTTTTCTCCTAAACTTTTCTTATCGTCTCAGATGTACGCCGATTCAAGATCGTACATTATTATTGAAATTGCTGTGGAAAAGCCACTGGCTCCAAAGAGACCGCCGGAGGAGCTGGCCAAACGGTAATAGGAAAGAGTTTCATTCGAATTCAAAGCATTGCGTCGTCCTCAGATATGCTGCTTCATGTGAATTGATTCTGTCTAATACAGGGTGATGGAGCTGGTTCCTCCCAGACCTCCACTGCCTCGACGGCCAGCAGGAGCAGAAAGAGTAAAAACAACATTTGTTCTTGATTTCTCACCGCTTCTATCATTAATTTTTTTCTCACAGTCAGATCTGTGGGAAATCTATTCAATTCATACATTATTACATACATTAAAAAAGAAGAAAATAAAAAGTTTAATACATTCTCCACATTCCAAAGCATCTATATAAACATTTCTTCCACCCTTTCTAATATCTATAACACCTACTATATAAAAAACGTATTGCTCATTCAATTAATTCCTATTCCTCAACCTCCTATAAGTATAGAATTCCAAGGTGTGCCTTTACCTGCCTTTTAAAATAAATTTTTCGTGTTATCCTAATTAATGACAATGGTAAAAGATTCCATGATTTCATTGCCCTAAATGTTACTGTATGTTTAAGAAAATTAGTTTTAGCATTAGGGAGTAGAAATCTCCCCTCTGTTGCTCTTCTAGTAGCATATTCATGTGACTGAACTGATTAGATTGTTATTGATTATACTGATCCAAAGGAGTTTTCAAATGTAAAACCTTCCATGTTGATAACAGTATTGCAGCAATCATCCTATTCAAGTTTTTCAATTCAATTCAAGTTTATTTGTACAGCGCTTTTCACGATACAAATCATTGCAAAGCAACTTTACATCAAATTAAGTTTCTACAATATTTAGTGGTAGCTTATCAGTGGTGACTGTCAGTTAATGTATGGAAAAATCAATTAAAGACATAATTCAACAGACGATGAACACTATTAACAGCAATTATTATATGATGCAATCAAACATATAGCAAAATGTGGTAGTTCTGTATGTTGTTCAGGGTTGGCATCATCTGAGGTCCTCTGAGGGGTTGGCATCATCTCTTCTCAGGTGTTCTGGATCCAGACTGAAGCTTGTGTAAATCCTAGTTACAGCAAAACCTAGCAACAGCAACCTAGTTGCAAAAACAGAGAAACAAATAGACATAATTAGCGTAGCTGCTGTTCCAAACAAGCAAAATTGATTTGTTTAACCTAAACTAAAGAATAATAATGTGCATTTGATCAGATATAACTGCAGTACAAGATTATGAGATGCATTATTTGAATGCTTGGCCAAAGGACCAGTCTGACGGGGCTCATGCTTATAACAGTAGCTTGGTGGAGTAGACTCATTTAGACCAATATAATAATTTGGTTTTAGCCAGGTTTCAGTCAAGCAGAGTACATCAAAACTATTATCTGTGATCATTTCATTTACAATAACTGCTTTGGGTGAGAGTGATCTAATGTTTTTGAGCCCAAACTTTAAAAATGTTTATTGTTAATTTATTTGACATTTTTCTGTTTTAATCACGATCTGATTTTTTCTAGATCTAGACCTGCATTAAATTTATATTTTGACCTCACTATTCGGGGAACAGACACAGTCTTTATAGATTGTACAGCGCAAGTACTTCTATCATTTAAGCAGGTAGAACAAAAGTCATCAGGGCAGTTATTTGAGATTTGACTTACTAGTCATATGGTGCATAACGTCCTGGAGATGTTCTCCGACATGAATTCTGCTCCGACTTTGCTGGGGTGCAGGCCATCAGCGCGAAAAAGCCTAGGACGCTCCCAGAAAAGATTCCAATTATTAACAAAGAGCAGTTTCTGTTCTTTACACCATGACAATATCCTTCCACTATCTTCCACTCTTTTAAGATCAATTTAAGATCAAGGACACTGGAGGATTAATCTCGCTGCCTTATTTTGTACCAACTGGAGTTTCCTCAAATCCATTTTTGTAGCATCGGCCCATATTATCTGACAATAGTCCAGCTGTGAGAAGAAGAGAGTGTCCAATATTATTTTCATTATATCAAGCGTAAAGTATTGTCTACATCTCCTTATTACAGCTACCACCCTTCCCATTCTCTTCACTCTGTTCTCAATATGCTTTGACCATGACAATTTATTATCCAGGGAGATACCCAATAGTTTTGCTTCCTTAACTTGCTGAATAAGTGTTTTATTTATATATAATTTCAGCTCTGGTTTGGACCGTAGAGAATAATTAGACCCAAATACTATACTCTTTGTTTTAAATGTATTTAGTATCAACATGTTTTCTAAAATCCACTTTTCTATACTCTCCAACTCCTCATTCAAAATAGCCATCAATTCAACCGACGTTTGTGCAGATGCATAAACTGTTGTATCATCTGCATACATTTTTAACTTAGCACTTCTTAATACCAGATATAAATCATTTGCGAAAATGGAAATGGAGTACCCTTTTTCCAAAAGAAGCTTATGATCAATAAGGTTAAATGCAGCTGTAAAATCTAATCCAACTGCTCCACTGTAACAACGTTTGTAGATCGGGAAGAAGGAGGCAAATACTATACTCTTTGTTTTAAATGTATTTAGTATCAACATGTTTTCTAAAATCCACTTTTCTATACTCTCCAACTCCTCATTCAAAATAGCCATCAATTCAACCGACGTTTGTGCAGATGCATAAACTGTTGTATCATCTGCATACATTTTTAACTTAGCACTTCTTAATACCAGATATAAATCATTTGCGAAAATGGAAATGGAGTACCCTTGTGGAACTCCACATTCAATTCCCCTTCTATCCTAAAAAAAAAACTCTCTGTGATCTATTATCCGAATAACTTTCCATCCAAGCAATTACTGATGATCTAAATCTATAACTCTCCATTTTTTCCAAAAGAAGCTTATGATCAATAAGGTTAAATGCAGCTGTAAAATCTAATCCAACTGCTCCACTGTAACAACGTTTGTAGATCGGGAAGAAGGAGGCAAACATTTAAAGAAGATTTTAATAAAATAAACAAACATAAAATGAAAATAAAGCGGCAGCCCCTCGTGGACGACTGCCACACACAAAGCACAAAATAAAGTCCAGGCCTGGTCCTCTCTCGTCTTTCACTGTCGTCACTCCTCCTTTTATCCTTCCGGAGCTCCTCCGTGAGACTCGAGACCAGTGAGTGGTGCAGGTGTCGCTCATTATCAATTACTCCACCCGCCCCCACTTGTCACATACCCCCATCACCCCTCGCAGGCCGGGGGGTACTCCCGATACTGCGCTATACTCCCCCCCCTCCCCCCTCTGGGGTAGCCGATCACGGCGGCCGCGGCGTACCTGGGGGTAAGGACAGACAGACGAGGTGAGAGAAAAGGAGACGGAAGGGTGAGGAGAGACAGATACAAGAGAGGGGAGAGAGGGGGAAAAAAATGATCGGTCCGGTTCCCGGACACACTGCCGCTTGGTCCTCAACCGGCTGAGAGGCTCTCACTCGCGGTGCCATGCAATGGTACTGGACACCTCCCCACTCATGGTCATTAACCTTTTCACAGTTTCTTCTCCCAATTCACTAAACTCAAAATAACAGTTCTTATCTCTCATATAGTTCTTTATATTAAGAATTGTAGAAGTATTTTCTGTCACATATGATATTTCTTTCCTTAAATTCTGTATCTTACTGCTAAAAAAATCATTCAAATAATTAGCAATTTCTTCAGGTTTTGTCATATAAGTACCTTCACAGTCAATTGAAGTAGGTTGTGGAGACTTATGTCTTCCCATTATATTATTAAATACCTTCCAAAGCGATGGTACTGGATATCATTGGTGGAAGGCCCACCGCTCCTCTGCCTCCTGGCGATGGCTCCTCCTATTGAGGGCAGCCGGCAGCGAGTCCCCCGTTCCCTGCTCCTCCCCACTCATGGCGGATGGCAGCAGGCTCAGGCCTCCTGGTGAACGGGGCCGACTCCTCCGCTCCCTCTCGGACGGCAGCCACCCCTCCTCGACCCAGGAGCACGGCAGAGAGCTCTCCGTCCCACCTCGTCTTCCATCGTTCCAGCACCACCGCCTCGGGCAGCCCCGGCGGTCTCTCCGCTTGTTCCAGCTGCCCGATCTCCTCTGCTTAAGACTCATATAAAAAATATGACTTATTGGACCAGACACATAATCTATGGCTAATCGGATAAGATTATCATCTATATTATCTATCCCTGGTTGTTTGTCTTTACAGACAAATTTTATTAGCCTTTTCACAGTTTCTTCTCCCAATTCACTAAACTCAAAATAAATAATTAGCACCAATTTCTTCAGGTTTTGTCATATAAGTAACTTCACAGTCAATTGAAGTAGGTTGTGGAGACTTCTGTCTTCCCATTATATTATTAAATACCTTCCAAAGCTTCTTCCCATCTTTCTTCTTACTACTTAACTGTAATGTATAATATGGTTTATTTTTATTTTTATTAAGACCTGTGATATAATTTCTCAATTTACAATATTTCTGTCTATCCGTTACACTACCGTTTTTTTTTTGAACAAAGAGTGAAAAATTTAAGGGGGTCTGAATACTTTCTGTACCCACTGTATAATCCTTTAATTCGCTATCAATCCAGGATGCTCTACAATCCTTTATAATTTATTTCTTAACAGGCACATGATTATCAATAACTGGCTGAAATTTTCTAATAAATAATTCAAGTGCATCGTTTGGTTCTTCTACACCATAAATCACTTTATATTACCAATATCCCTCAAGAAAGCTTCCTGGGAAAACCTCAAATACACAATTTTTTGCTTAGCTTTGGATATTTAGTTTTTCCTTGCAATTACAACTATATTGTGATTTGTGATCACTACAACCTAGTTGGACTGATATCGCTGTCATATACAAATCTTCATTGCTCAAATAAATATGATCTATACAAGATGATGTGGACTTGCCCTTATTATTTATGCTTATTCTTGTTGGTTGTCTAACCATCTGTTTCAATCCACATGCATTTATTATATTTACCAATTGATTCTTTAAAAAGCACTCATGTACTAACCAATTAATATTAAGATCACCTAAAAAAACTACTTCTATATTCAATTCACATACCTTATTCAGCACCTCACCCATGTCTTCTAAATATTTATGATATGAACCTGGTGGCCTATGACAACATCCTACTAAAAGTGGCTTGACATGAGGTAAATTAACTTGCAGCCATAGAACCTCCACTTCATTACACATAATATCATCCCTTACTGTTACAGAAATATGATTCTGCAAATAAAAGGCAACACCTCCACCGTACTTATTTCCATCCCTTCTATTTAAATTATATCCACTTATAGATACAGCATTGTCATCAAATGTCTCTTCCAAATGAGTCAGATATAGCAACAATATTAATTGTGTTTGACAGCAACAAATCGGCAACTTCATGTACTTTGTTCCTCAAACTACAAATATTCAAATGAGCAAACTTTACATATTTTTTGGCAATTAAAACGGCAATAGATATACAATACACAACATGTCACATCACACCTTGATCCTTGTCAAATCCTCACATGTTCTCCTTTGCTTGCCGCCTATGAACAATGAGTTTATCGTACCTCAAGAACGCAATGTCCCCTCTTTCTTTTGCAGCTTTCATTTTAGGAATCAGTTCCTTTCTCCTCTTTCGAAACCGATTCAGGATATTCCTCATTTATAAAAATATTCGAACCCTTCAGCTTTCTCGCGTTGGCATCACTCGATCTCTGTCCTTGATTCTTAAAAACGACACCATTGTTGGGCGAGGCCAACTCCGGATTTCATCCTTTACTTTAAGAACTCGTTGAATTTTCTGTATACTGATGGTGAGTGGGTCCAGGTCCAATTTATCCTTAAAAAGAGCCAACACCATCTCTTCTGAGTCTGAAACCTTTTCATTCTCAGCTACTGGAATTCCATCAATAATCCCATTCTGATGTCTGGTCTGGGCATCTAGAAAGTCTGTTTTCCCATCTATCACCAACATCGATTCCGCCAGTTTATGTATGTCATCTTCATTTGATTTACAGTTAGACGACAAACTTGACGCTTTTAAATCGTCCACCTCCTTTTGTGTAAATTGGAGGCTAACTTTTAACTCCTGCAGCTCTTTCAAAATAGTCTGTTGCTCCATCAATTCATGCACCTGTTCATGTGTGATGTACTGTCCAAAGTCTTTCTCTTTATCCTTACGACCAGCCATGCTTTCCCACAGGCAACAAACACAAGGTATTGGCGCTGACCTTTACTTCACTCTGCTGTGCTTCAAATCGATACAATGTTAAACGTCGAGTTAAACGTCTATACCTTGATGTAAAACTTCTATAACTTGATGTAAAATCGTTTTATATTTGATTTTATATTTGTTTTTTTTAGCGTCTTCTGGAGTAAGATCAGAACAGGTGTGACGCACTCAGGTGTGATCTATCTATTTTTCATTTTTCAATAATTTACATTTACATGTACATTTGTCTTTTTTTATATTTCTGTGTAGCTATAATTCAGTTTTATTTTAGTTTTCAGTTTTTAGTACTTGCATTTTGATTTATTTCAGTTAGCTGCCAAGGCAGCATTTCTAATTTGTAAAGGTTTTAAGATAAAGAGTTTAAAGAGTTAAGAATAAGTTTTTCTTCTAATATTTAATTTTATTTTATTCAGCTTTATCTATTAACAAAAATAGTTTTAATACTTTCAGTTTTAAAGGGTTAGTTCACTCAAAGATGAAAATTCTGTCATTAATTACTCACCCTTGTGTCGTTTCAAACCCGTAAGACCTTCGTTCATCTTCGGAACACAAATTAAGATATTTTTGATGAAATCCGAGAGCTCTCTGACCCTCCATAGACAGCAACACACTGCAATGTTCCCAAGTCCAGAAACGTAGCAAGGATATCGGTAAAATAGTCCATGTGACATCAGGAGATCAACCGCTATTTTACGAAGCTACGAGAATACTTTTTGTGCGCAAAGAAAACAAAAATAATTACTTAATTAAACAATTCTTCTCCTCATCCCGTCTGCGGCGGTGCACCGCCATTGTAGAAAGAGTTTTACGATGCATGTGCTTGCTTCCGCTTCATGTAAACAATGCATGCACGTGCTGACACATGTGCGTGTTAACGTAAGCAGTAGCGCCATGTGCATGCGTTGTGTCAGATTTCATCAAAAATATCTTAATTAGTGTTCCGAAGATGAACTTACGGGTTTGCAACGACATGAGGGTGAGTAATTAATTCCCTTTAATTGTCAATAACAACACTGACTGTTTTGGACTTCTATATGTAACATTGTTCTGATTCATACGGTTGTTTATCAGAGCATGTAAATGAGCTCCTGATGTTGTATGTGGCAGTACTCTGTGGTGCGGATCGTAAGAGAGAAGATGTTGAGGACAGAGGCTTTCTCAGACCCTGAACAGCTGCAAGCGTTCCTGAGTCAGTTATACGTGTTCCTGGTGGACGAGATGCATGCTGCTCTTAATAAGGTGATGCCTCAATAAAATCATTTCTGTTATTTGTTAGGGGAAGCATTACTGCTACTCATACTGAGGCTTACTGATCTGAACAAACCTTTAACCTTTATTATTAAGCCCGGGTGCTTTATTAGTGTCTGTATTATCAGTCTGTGTTTTTCATGCACTGATTCAGACTCTGTCAGTGGACTCTCAGGACGCTCATCAGGAGCCTGTCCTGAGCTGTGCTCAACTCAAACACTTCGCCAGAGAGGCCGAACTCAACACAGACTACCAGCTGGCAGCACAGTACTATCAGGAGGTGAAGCATCACAGCTCTTCTGCTGCTTTAACATACTATCATACTAGATTCCCTCTCTACCCATCCTAATAATGTACACAGCATGCTTTTCACAGTAGTTTATAATACAGTGTAAAGTACATTATTCATTGTAGTATATACAAGTATATACATTGTTTCATACTGAGTCATATTTTACCCATAAATCAAAATTAATATATACGTATATATATATATATATATAGTGACATTATTTGACTGACATTTGCATTACTGTAATGAGAAAAATGTATGATATATTATTTAATAAATATAATGTATCAAGTAAATAAAGTAATATATACTGTATACATACATTATGGCAGTATTTTCTATAATGCTGATTTATTCATTCAGAATAATGAAAATTCAAAACAAAACAAAAAACACTCAAAAGCTAAACTCCTGGAGGAATGAATGAGAACTGGGGTGGTGATAATAATGCACTCCTAATAGTAAAAATCATACATTTTTCAAAGGATCGAATGGGCATTGCAAGCATTTATGGATGAAAGCATTGCAAATCTAAAATCTGTTTGCATTTTACAGTGTTTAGGGTGCATTGTAAACTACATAATTGTTTATAAACCATTAAACAACATGTCTAGGTCATATTTCACCCACAAATGAAAACAAAGCAATAAAATATGACATTTATTCTGAAATAAAAAAATCTATTTTAGCAACATTAAATGTTGGCATAGTGACATTATTCCATGACAATTAAGCACCCCACTCTCATTATTGTAATGTGAAAAATACTGATATATTATTTAAAACACAGTAAGTCTTTACATTTATTTAGAAGACACTTTTATCTAAAGCCACTTATTTATTAACTAAATTAAGTATAATATATATACATAATGGTACTATTTGCTGTACTGTCTTTAATGTATGCTGATCTAAAAAGCTAACAAACATTGTGTTACAGTAATGCTAGAATGATAACCATAATGAGAAGTACAAAATAAGAAGTACAAAAACCCCTCAAAAGTCCCTGGATGTTAATGTAATGTAAATTGCAGTCACACAGGCATTTCAAGCATGAATGCACTGTATTTTGTGAAAAATGTAGGATGCAATTATAGTATCTCATGCATATACAATTAATTTCTTTGAAATGGCATGTTCTAATGACAGTGTGCTATTTCAAACTCATCATTTGTGACATGCCAGTATCATTGGATGTGAGTCACGTCTCTCTGTAGTGTTTGATTCAAGAGCGCAGCGAGCCGTCGCACTGGTGTGATTATGGAGCGTTTCACATGCTGACCGCTGACCACCTGAAGGCAGAGGAGTGCTTTCAACAGGCCTTATCCATCCAGCAAACACACATACCGAGGTCAGCAGAAACAAATGATTCAGACTAGATTTCTAAACGAGTGCTTTGACTCATTCTTCAGTTGTGTTCGGTGCAGTTTGCTCATGTGCGGCGTGCTGTCAGAGATGAACGGACGCTATGAGGACGCCGAGACCTTCTTTGAAAGGGCGACTTGTGTGGAGCCCAACAATGTGGTCGCCTGGGCTTTGTTTGGTGAGAATAGATTATACAGTAAATACAAATTTGGGGTTAGTAAGATTTTTTAAAAGAAATTAATATTTTTATTCATCAAGGATTTAATAAATTGATCAAAAATGAAAGTAAAGACATTTACAATGTTGCAATAGATTTCTATTTTTTTTAAATGCTGTCCTTTTGAACTTTTTATTCATAAAAAAAGAAAATCCTGAAAAAAGGTTTCGACAAAAAATGTGTTCTTGAGCATCAAATCAGAATATTAGAATGATTTCTGAAGGATCCTGTGACACTGAAGACTGGAGTAATGGTGCTGAAACTTCAGCTTTACATCACAGGAGTAAATCACATTTTAAAATATATTAAAATAGAAAACAGTTATTTGACAGTTATTTGAAATTGTAACAATATTTCACAATTTTACTGTATTTTTGGTCAAATAAATGCAGCCTTGGTGAGCAGAAGAGACTTCTTTCAAAAACATCTTACCCCAAACTTTTAACAGGGTTCCCACGGGTCCTTGAAAGTTTGTGAATCTGCAAAAAAAAATGTCAAGGCCCTGGAAAGTTTTTGAAAATAAACATACATAGATCCATGTCCATGTGCTTGAATTTATACTTGAGTTTTCTGGGAAAAAAATCCATATTATTCCCTCCGGTCCGCTAGTGTGTTAGTTCGCCAACACTTTGTGGCCTATGCATACTTGCTTGCTTGATTTACGGTAGTTATGCGCATTTTATGCATTACGTTAAGTGTTTCCCGCATGAGATACTTTGTGTTGTATATGGCAAGCCAAAAGAGTCCGAATTAAATTTATGCCATTAAATATGGCAAGTTTTACCATTTATGTGCATTTTTTACGGCGTCTGCTATCAGGACGGCGTATTTGATGGCGCTAATGCGGTTTTAAACGCCGAAAAAAACTGCGTTTTGTATGTAAAAGCGATTTATCTAAAGCGTAATTCTGACTCTTTTGGCTTGCCATAGTTGTACATTGCCATGACGTTCACGCGTGCACAAAACTACTACAATGGTACCTTAATGTTTCACAGACACACTGTGAAATTAATGTTGAATTGCTTTGCTTGTTAAGATAATGTTAACCCATGAGGCAAGAAAAACTTAAAAGCATATTCATATATCTTAAAACTTCTGGGTACATGAGCCTAAGCTCTTTTCAATAAAATCCATGCAAAGGTTAATATCAGATCATTTTAGAATACAGTATAGGATGTACCGAATATTCTTCAGTTTTATGCAAAACAGAAATACGACAAATAGAATATCAGATCTCTGTCGTGGCCAAAAAAAAAAGTTATGTTGCTTAGTTGTGTTTGACACATGAAAACTGTAACAATGTATCTTACAAGGTAACACAGTGTAACCTTGCTCTCACTTGAAATGTGTCCCCACATTAAGTCCTTGAATTTGAGGGTATTGGACCTGGAAAATGCTTGAAAGGTCCTTGAATTTTAAGTTAACCAAGGTGTGGGAACCCTATTTTAAAACAGTAGTGTTTTTCTTCAGTAGTACGCCTTACTATATTCATTCATTTAAGTTTATTTTACTCTGACCGCAACAGGATATAATTTTAGTTTGCTAAATATTTTTTACATTTTATTTTTCAAAATGATGAAAATGTGTGTCCTCAGGTATATTCTGCCAGACTCAGGAGAAGTGCATAGAGGCAGAAATGGCTTTTCGGGAAGCTAATAAGCAGCTTAATGCAGTCCTGCTGAATGAATCAGCATCTAGAGCAGAAATAACCTCAGACACTCAGTCTGGTCAGAAGAAGGACCAGAAAGATGAAAGCAGTGAGACTCCAGCTGGAAACACAGAGGAGACAGGTGACCACCTCATGTCCATCTGCTCTGTGACAAAAGCTTTTCATTTATAGCTGATCTGGGATCATTTGCTTTAAAGGTGGCAATACAGATGAAGCCGATGCTGTGCATGAAGAAGACCGGCCACAGAATGACCAGGAGAGCAAACAGGAAGTACAACAGCAAATTCCCCCAACCAGCGTCCAGACCACTATCTACATGGAGACAGTGTGGTTTCTCCTGCAGAACTACGCATTACAGGTCACGGCAGTAACATTAAAGGAGACATTTGTTTTACATTTACATTTAGTCATTTAGCAGACGCTTTTATCCAAAGCGACTTACAAATGAGGAGTTTTCACCTGAGATCTACTTAGAAGGTTTCTTGCACCAAAAACAGGCATAATTTAGTGTTTATGGCTATTTTACACACACTCTCTCTCTCTCTCTCTCTCTCTCAGACCCTTTGTTGAAAAGGCCGTTTTTGCTGCTGTTCCTTTAAGACATCTTTATGTAAATGGCTTACACTGCCATTCAAAAGTTTAGTGTCCGAAAAGACTTTTAATGTTACTGAAATAAGTCTCATCAATTTGACCAAAAAGTACAGTAAAAACAGTAATATTGTGAAATATTATTTCTATTTAAAACAACAGTTTTCTATTTGAATGTATTTTCAAACATAATTTATTCCTGTGATCAAAGCTGTATTTTCAGCATCATTCCTCCAGTCTTCAGCGTCACATGATCCTTAATATGTCTAATATGCTGATTTGCTGTGCAAGAAACATTTATTATTATCAAAGCTGAAAAGATGTGCTGCTTCATAGAAACTGACTTTTTCCAGATTTTTCGATGATTAGAAAGTTCAAAAGAACATTTATTCAAAACAGAAATCTTTTGTAACACTATAAATGCCTTTGCTGTCGCTTTTGATCAATTTAATGCGTCCTTGCTGAATAAATGTATTAATTTCTTTAAAAAACAAAAACAACGTTCCAACCCCAAACTTTCATATATTCTACGTTCAAATATTCTGTAGGTTATAAAAGCAATAAGCCCCAAGAAGCCGTGGTTTAAAGTGAATTTATAACAGCTAAGGGGCGTTGTTAGGCACGACGCGGAGCGGAGTATCAGTATAAACAGTATAAAACGGTTATTCCATATATATATAGTAAGGTTTCACAAAATAAAACAGAGCAAATAAAGTGTAATGATAATAAAAACAGTATTCTTCCACCAAACAATGTAGTTCCTCAGAAACAGTTGTGGTTGCAACAAAGTGATTGCCGAGTAGCACACAGACGTAAACAAAGGTGTGTGTTTGTAGAGTAATTTACAACAGCTTAGAACACGGCTCAACCAATCAGAATCAAGGACCGGAACGATCCGTTTTATAAGATTGTTTAACCTCTGTTTACTTGTGTAATTCAGCATCGAGTTGCAGGATCTGGCTGTTCATATGTTAAAGGGGTCATATGATGCTTTTTTAAAGATCATTATTTTGTGTATTTGGTGTAACAGAATATGTTGACAAGGCTTCATGTCTGTTTTCTGAATTGTCCATTTTTTGCCGTTCATTCAGAGTGGACTTCAGTAGTTTTTCTACATAGCATACCAAATCTTTTTTGAACTGAAGGTGGTGCTAATCCTGAAGTTAATGCTGGATTGTGTTGGTGTCCTCAGATGGCCCAGCGTGCTCTGGCTCTAGAGCTGCTGTCTCCAGACAGAGGCACCATCAGCTCGTATCACCTCGCTCTCGCCAAACTACACCTGCTGAGAGGAGAACACAACAGCGCCGAGGCCAGCCTGAAGGAGGCGCTGACCGACAACTTCCAGGTCTGCATCTTTCCATTTCCTTTCCACAGATTTGATCTGAGACGCACTTCAAATTCATTATTTCTCCTACGATTTGGTCCGCACAGAATCCAGACATATGGGCCCTGTGGGGTCACTTGCATTACGAGAAGGGCGATTACTCTCAGGCTCAGAGCTGCTATGAACGGACGCTGGATTCTGTGCTGGACGCCTCAGACACACACTCCATCTACCTTCGCTTGGGCTCCATCTATCTGCAGAAAGGAGAAGTGAGTTCAGATCAGCTGCTTTGGAGTTTTCATGAAACAGTTTTCATGTGTGCTTCATTCCCTCTGCAGTATGAAAAAGCCAGACCTGTATTCCTGCGTGCCTGCAAACGCTCGCCATCATGTCTTACTTGGCTCAGACTGGGAATCGCCTGCTATAGAGTGAGTACAAACCCATAATGCATTTAGAAAAGCTGGACGTCTCTGGCTTGTAGCTTGTCAGCGTAAAGTAGGAGAGCTTTGCTGGAGCCACAGTAGAAGGAGAGTTTATGATTGGTTGACCCTAGTTACATATTCCTTCTCTTTTTGTGAAGATGCATGTCATTTCAAAGAAAAAAATGCATCAAATTCATATGAATATCAGTTGTTACTCTATATCTGCAACAATGTCTTAGTAAGATGATATTCAAATACTCGATGATCAAAGCTCTGTAGTTTTGAAGCATTTAAATGCAGCATAATACAAGGATGATTGACAGATGACAAAATAAACATTCCCCAACAAGCTTGATTATCATATTTGATGCATTTTAACATGATTTTTCTAAAGAATGATGATGATAATCAAGCTAAGTTGTTTCAGTCCAGTAAGTGTTCATCTTGAAATATTACTAACAACATAAAAGTTATTCTTATGTTTACTTTATAAAAATCAGTAGAGACAAAATCAAGCAAAAAGACGCAATGCAAAGCAAGACCTGAAGGTGGACGTTTTTACAAATATACTGTACAAAAAGACCTTTACTTGCTAAAAAAGTATAAACTATGAATCAGACAACAGGTTTTTCAGCAAGGTTTTAAACAAGTTGATCATTTCGAGGCCTTAGAAATGTGTATATCCAAATATGATACAGTAGACTTTAGGGTTAGTTGTTGTTATATGCATTTAAATGTGCTGTTGATCAGCTGGAGGAGCTGACTGAGGCTGAAGAGGCGCTGACTGAAGCCAACGCACTGAATAACAGGAATCCAGAGGTGTGGGGTTACCTGTCGCTAGTCTGTTTACGGGTAAGTGACTGACAAATGCATTCGGACGGTTTTCTCCCATTAGTGCCTTTTGCACCGCGGGAACCTTTTCATAGTACCTGAACTAATTGTGGAACTACCCACTTTTTGGCATGTTCGCACCGCAGTAACTAGGAACGATTTTAGTTCTAGGAACACCGTTTGGAGGAACCTACTTCAGAGCAGGGTCTAAAACAGCTCTATAGGAACTATCAGTGACGTAAGTGTGCGCTGATTGGCCAAACGCACGCGAAACCCCGGCCACCCGGCATTTTTAAAAAGCCATGTAAACATATTTACTCCACGAACATGGAAAATGGCGATAACGGCTTTTAACTGTTGTCTGCAGTGTTGTGTTCTTTTCTCAGCTTCGATGATATGTAACTGTGACGAGAGGGGCGGGGCCGAGAGCCGTGGGAATGGAGCGAGGCCGGTGGAGGAAATGCTAATGCGCAACACCTGCGCCACTCACCGGTTTCGAGTCCCACGGAGGAGCTCCGGACGGATAAAAGGAGAGTGACGACAGTGTTGGAGGAGAGAGGACCAACACTGTCGTCACTCCTCCTTTTATCTTTCCGGAGCTCCTCCGTGGGACTCCTCCGTAGTTCAGGTACTATGAAAAGGTTCTCGCTTCGTTCCCACGGCTCTTGGCCCCGCCCCTCTTGTCACAGTAACACTGCAAGTTGTCATAAAAAAATGTGTCTCTTAGCCCAACTTTTTGCTCTTGCAATCGTGTAAATTGTGCATTTACATCTCCATCTCCGTTATAAAAAGACAACGCTGTCGGCCGCTTCAGAGTTCCTGCTGCCGGTGCGAATGCAACCAAGAAAACGGCCCGAAGGAGAAACTGGTTCTCTAGGAACTACCCTGCTGGCTAGTTCCTGGAACTACGCAGTGCGAAAGCCCCTATTTATTCCCTCGCTTTGCACTTCTTTCTTTACACTTCTTCACACAAAGCAGCCATCATTTACTCTCCCTCAATGTCTTTCTAAGCCTGTGTGAGTTTCTTTCTTCTGTGGAACACAAAAGAAGATATTTTGAAGAATGTTGGTAACCAAATGTTTTCAGGTCCTATTGACTTCCATATTATGGACAAAATATACTATGGAAGTCAATGGGAAACGAAACGGTTCTTCACACACTGGATCAACAGAAGCATTATGTTGACTTTAGTTGCTTTGTCCTTTCAGACTGGCAGAAAACTAGAGGCAGAGCAGTCATATAAATATGCCCTAAAGGTTTGTACTGTTTAATGTCAATGTGTTTGTGAAGTCTGTGGTATCAAAATTCAATTTTGACTTCTTATAAGTTTCGTTTTTTTAGATGAATTTGCAAGAGGAGTCACTTCTAGAGGAGATTCACGAGCTGCAGTCACGTGTTGGGTTTGGGAACCCTTCCTTCTGATCGGTCTTATCCACATGAATGTCATTTTCAACTATAAAAAGATGAATTGTTTAATCCTAATAATAAAAAAGGTGTAAATGATAATAAAATATGATTTGAACCATAATCAGCTATAGTCTTTTTTTTGTTTGTTTTTGTTTTGGCCTTGTTGAAAATGGCTTCACATTTAAGGTTCACTCCAATGATAACAATAAATATACAATATACAGTATTACTGTTATTAAAACTATACAGTTTTAATAATCGTTTTAACTCTGTGAGAACAGGGAAGTCCACACCACAACTACCACAGAGGAACGATATTGAAATCACTCTCAGATCAGTTATTTCCAACTAATAAACGATAAAAAGCCAATCAGAATCTGTCAGACTTTAAAGGGTGTTATGGTCTGTTCAGGGATCAAACAAAAACACAACATAATTACTAAAACGCCGCATAAAATTAAAGCGAAAACAGGAAAAATAAAAGCTCAGTCAAAATATTTACAAAAATATTAATAATATAAAAACTGAAATGCTAAACAAAATACTGCGCCTGTTAGTGTGGACACTAATATAGTTATCGCTATAATTTCCGAGCCTTTTTACATTAGGTTGTAAAAATGTACACATTTAATATGCACAAACCAGAATGACAATGATAAAACTGAAAGATTGAGAAATGCATATAGATATGTTCAGAATTCTACCTTTTCCATTCTCAAATGTGCTAAACTGTGCAGTAAATTAGCAGTGCAATGTGCTTTATCTTCCACTGTTACACTGTTGAAATGTTATACAAAAAAAAAAATCTTTACATGGCAGACAACAGACAGTAGTGTTCATCTAAATTCCATTATCATGTATAAAACCTCAACAGTTTTCCTAAACAAAAATAAGTCTCTATATTATATATAACACAATAAAACTTGCCTTCACATGTACCATGGTATCCAGTAGGAGCAAAACAAAAACTTGCCAGAAGACGCCTGTATTTCGAATATATATGAAGAACACAACAAATGAGAAGCTACATCTGAGTGATGAATCATATTAAGGTACTTTATTAAACAACGAAACTGAATCTACGTGATAATTGGCAACAAGTCAGAAATCCATTTTTCACAATTATTTTCTTTGATTGAACAGAAACAAGAAGTTACACAAAGACGCATCCTCCTAGTCTGACTTTTGGTCTATCCATGAACACGACTGCCCCATGTGTAGGTCAGGTACATCAGAACCGTGAGTGGTGCAACCTTGAATATAGATGTTATGAACAGTGTTGGGGAAAGTTACTTTTAAAAGTAATGCATTACAATATTGCGTTACTCGATAAAAAAGTAACTAATTACGTTACTTAGTTACTTTTTATGCGAAGTAATGCGTTACGTTACTTTTGCGTTACTTTTTAAATCTGGACAGGGCTTGCTTGTTTGTTTTTAAAATAAACATTTTTGGCAAATATAAAAGCCTTTTTGCACCAAAAGTGAAATGAAGGGAAGGGAAAGTAAATTTACGTCCGTACAGTAGAATGCCGAAGAAGAAATTTCAGCACACTTCAGCAATAAACAAAAACACACAAATGTCTGTCTAGAGTAATTTGTGCTTATTAGTACGGTTGAACTGGATCATCGAAGGTCAGAAGCAAAGAATGGGATTAAATACATAAATTATATTTGTGTTGTTTAACATTTAATTATTGCAGGTTTGCATCATATTCTGAGTTGCATATTTTTTTATTCATTTTGAGGAATACTGAATCTGTGTTTGTTTTTGTGTGTGAGTAAGATGAAGTAATGCATATTCGTATTTATTTCAGAACTACAGTAACATCTGATTTCTCTCAACATGGGGACAGGAGAGCGGTCAATCAATAAATTGGGAAAAAGTAACTTGCGTTACTTATTTGAAAAAGTAACTCAGATATTTTCTTGTAAATTAAAAAGTAATGCGTTACTTTACTAGTTACTTGAAAAAAGTAATCTGATCGCGTTACTTGTAATGCGTTACCCCCAACACTGGTTATGAATCGTATCCAAACGTTTGGGATTCCCTCAGAAACGTAGTTTGGGAAAGCCCTCTGCTCAAAGGGAGGAATACTGTAACTGATCACATGCCTTATCTTGGCCAGATCTCCGAAGTGACGACCGATTGCTCCACGAAAGCTGATCTCACTGCACTTTGACATCCTTGGATTCCCATTAAACTGTTTTTCTCACACACACACACACACACAAAAAGGCTTGAATTTAATGGTCGCTGCGCCTTTAAGCATCAGCTCTGACACGTGGTTTCATCCGGCAGCTTCCTGCTTATTGAGTTCATAACGGAGAGCCTGATCTCCGCAGACAAAAGCAATGAGAATCCGACTAATGATCATTTCTATAATCAGTTACCAGTCTGTTATCATTCCTACAGCCTGGTCGGACCAGTTACTATTATCATTATAATCTGATGTAACGCAGGATTCGCCGAAGAGCTGGATCGTAAGTACTGGTTTCAGTTCTCAAGTATGCAAATGAGGGCGCATACTTGTGCTATAAGCGTGCTAGTGTGTTACACTGATGTCCAACGTCAGCACTAGTTCATTTGTATAATGACAGCTGATCATTTCGTTCTGCTTGTGCATTTAAATGGATGCTGATCACAGGACAGTGAGATTAGTGGCATTTTCTCTGGCAAACACCAGAACGCTTATGACTGCTCTTTTGTTGGGACTGCACACATCTGTGTTTTCATTTTCCCTGCAAACAAACGCTGTTGAACAGCCTCTCTCTCTCTCTCTCTCTCTCTCTCTCTCTC